CTACTCAATCTCATGCCTGTGTTTGCTTTTTGAAGCACGTTTTACTAGACAGGGAAGTAGAAGCAAAGTCAAAGCATTTTTAAAAATTCTGTTTTCTCTCCAATTATTGAAAGAACTCCTAGTAACCTCGAAGTAGATTTTTCATTTATGTAATAACCACCCATATGCAAAAGGTATCCACCTGTGTGGCAAATGGGATCTTGCAAATATTATCTTTATTAGCTTGGACAAGATTTCTAAACTCTGTGTTTCCCAGATGACGATTGGCAGCATTCATTCAATGCTATCATGTGCCAGTGATGTTCTTACCTCTTCAATACCCCCGATAGACTAATGTGTAGGAAACATTTTAAAGATATGTAAACTGAGGTACCGAGAGCCAGTGGTCTGGTTTTTCTCTTACTGCTGAACAGATCACCCCAATAGTTAACAGTTTAAAACAACAATCATTATCTTTTCCTGGTTATAGGGGGTGAGGGATTTGGGAGCGGCTTGGCTGTCCCATGCTCTGGCCTGGGCGATTGTGGTCTGACCATAACCGCAGTTAGAATAGGTGGGAATGGAACCAGGAGCTGAAGTCGGAGTGGGCTAGCTGCTAGCTGCAAGTCTCAGGACCCTTCCAGGGGCCTGGGGGCTCCGGCATGACGGCCTCAGGCAGCAGGGTGGAAACCACACTGCCTTTTGCGACCTCTCCTGGGCTACCACTTAACAGCCCTTCCACTGTGGCCACAAGCCCACCTGGATTCAAGAGGGAACATAAACTCTGCCTCCGGGTGGGGAAACAGGAAGAACGTTATGGGACAGGAGGAACTGCAGCCGGTTCTGGAACATACAGTGTCTCAACCGGAAGTCTCGACCCAGCGACGCCGGAAGTCAGGGCAGAGCTGGGCTTCAAGTCAAGGCACTCCGCACAGCCACTCTTCTAACACTGCAGGCACTTGGACTTAAATATTGAATCTTTGGCTGAGCATGGTTTTGATGACCGGCATTGTGCATTCTGTGAGTTAAGACCTATGTTGGATTTTTTTGGGTTTGGGTTTTTTTTTTTGTTTTTAGTTTTTATTTGTTTATTTGACAGCACAAGCAGGGGGAGCAGGAGAGGGAGAAGCAGGCTTCCCCGCTGAGCAGGGTTCTGTCTCTGGGTTGGATCCCAGGACCCTGGGATCATAAGCTGAGCCTAGGGCAGGCGCTTAACAACTGAGCCACCAAGGCATCCTAAGCCCTATGTTCTCATGTCTATGCCAGTAAAGCCGCTGCCCTTATCACACATTGAATTCCAAGTGTTTCCTGAACCACCACCATGGGCCAGTTTCCGTACTGGTTGCTAAAGCCATCAGGGACACCCCATCCCTGCAGACCAACAGGGGGAAATGCCTTGGAAACAAATTCCACTACAAGGTGATAAATGCAGAAGTGAGTGTAAGACTGATGAGCTGATGGGTGTCTGGGATTTGTTTTAAAATGTTCCTGGTTGGGGGTGGGAGGGAACCAAACTATGTCAGAGAGAGATGGATGAAATAAGATTTGAAAACTGCTGGTAATTGTTAAAGGTGGGTAAAAGGGTGCCCAGCAGTGGGGGGGGGGCGCATTTCATCCAATTTTTGGCTATGTCTGAAAATGTCCACGATTAAAGAAATACTAAACGTACAAGGGAGAAAGGAACCACAGTGGAGGTGAGCATAGGGTGGAGGTGAGGAAGCAGCAGTGAGGCCTGGGCTCCTCTAAGAGCAACATCAGAGCTATTTTCATTCAGTAGTAAGACGACTGTGCTTCTCCTGTATGGAAATGCATCCCCTCCTTCCAGCACCCTGCGGGCCAAGTGCTTTTAGCATAGCCCTGTCAACTGTTGAGGCAGCTTGCCTTTGTTTTCCTACCTGGGAGGTTCACATTCAGTGATAAGAGAATTGGAGGGGAGAGGAACGAAACCCACCCCCCGCTCCTGGAGAGCAGGGCTTTTTCCGTTGAAATTCCAGGACTTCTGGGATGAAGCTTGTCTTCTTTTCAGCTTTTAGATGCTCAACAGATTGCAGGACTGAATCGTTTGAAAAATGGTTGATCTTGGGTGATCGCCAACAACCACCGTCTCAGCAAAGGACTGAATCTCAAATGCCAAATTTAACTGGAAGAAAGAAGCGGCTCTGTCTTCAAGATGAAATATAGAATTATTTAAATACAAGATGGGAGGAGCTCTGTGATAGCTCATGTTGATGGGAGGAGATCCTGACCCCCAGGTGCTCAGAGGACATTTATAATATTTTCTTCACTCCTGATTGCCATCCCTTTATTTCATCTTTTTTATCATGAAAATTTCCAAACACCCATGAAAATAAAGATATAGAAAATAGAGATTATAACACACTTCCATGTTTGTACTGAGCTTTAGTCCCTATCAGTACTTGGCTATGTACATTCAATTCTCTTTGATAATTTCACCCAGAAATAAAAGGACTTAAAAAAAAAACCAAAAAACTGCAGTGCCTTATGACATCTAAAAAACTACCAAAAATTCCCTATGATTGTCTAATACACAATACGTATACAATTTCCCCTGATTGACAAGAAGTTTTTTTATAGTTTAATCTCCATCCTAAGGAGGCCCTCCATTATATCACATCTCTTCACTAATCTCTAATGTTTTTCAAGAGCTTTGGTTTTGTTTTGGTTTGTCCTCTCCTTTCCCCCTATTCCTGTGTAAAAATCTTGTAAATGAACCGCTGGAGGACAGGAATGTCAGGTCGCTGTGACAGCTTTACGGCTTTCTGGTAGCAGATTCCATCTTCTCTAAAGGAGACCCAGCACCCTCCAATCTGCCTTCCTCTGAACAGAGGGACATTCGTGCCTGTGTTCACCTGTTTGAAGCTTCTGCTTTGAAGAATACAGTTTTACAAGGAATCTTCAGCAGCACGGATAAAATCAATGAGATAACTTCAGACTGATGCTGATAAGGGACATACATTCCTGGGAGCACCTAAAATCAGCGCTATAGTTGTTCTAAATGATTACCTTGGGAAATTAGCACATGAGCCTGAAGCAGAAGATGAAGTTGTCTAATGAATGCATTTTATACTAATTGTTTAAAAACAGGTAATCATTACAAGAGGGATCTCTCACCACACACACCCACACATGCACACACACACCAAGAGAAACTGCGGAAAAGTTATTGAGAACACTTGTTAAATAAAGACAGTAAGGCAGCCTTTATTCAAGAGAGGCTCCTGGAACGGGGTTTTGTAGGGGAGAGAGGTTGGACCCCAGGAGGTTGGACTCTAACAAGGACAAAGGGGACATACAGGGAAAATAGCCAAGAAGTAAGGGTGAGGGGGGATTCTAGCTAGACCAACTCCACAGAATTCTTGGGGGATCAGATACCAGGGCCGACGGTGCCCCTAAGCTGATTTAGTAGCGTTCTTGCTCAAACAGGATTCTCCAAGGTCATTGAGAAGCCCAAGGGCTGGCCTAGCCGACTAGAGCGCTCAGAGGACCCGGAAGAAAGTTTGGTCCGAGGGCAGTCTTGGTCGATGCACATTTGCTTACAACTTCTTACTACAAAATTTTAATTTCAGGTTAATAATCCCTCCTCCTCTCTCAAACAGTAAAGTGTTTACTGTTAAAGCTGGAGCCCGCTGGCTGAGCAGAGCCCTTCTTTTCAAGCGTTGCCTCCCCCGCCTCATAGAAAATTAAACCAGGGTTGCCCTTTCCCAGAGGGGTTTTGCTGGGTAAAGCTCATGCATTAATAATCCCGTGACCCGTGGGACGACCGACTCGGAGTTCTGCAGAGCAGAAAGAAACTTCCAAAGTGGTCAGACAGGCTGGGTGACTTAGGGACAATGAGCCTTTCTGCTCTAAAATCGGAACCCAGCTGCGACCGAGGCAGGTTTCCGCGCGCTTCGCGGACCCGCGCGGCGCACGCCCTGCAGGTTGGGGGCAGCCCAGGGCCGCGGGTGCAGTCGCTCCCGCCTGCCGCCCGCCGCGCACGCGCCCCCCCCCCGCACGCGCACGCGACCCCGCCGCGCACGCGCACGCGCGCACGGCCCAGGTGTGGCCGTCAGTGGCCTCCGCGGCCGCGAGGCGCGCATTCCCGCCGCCCGCGCCCGCCTTCACCCGAAAGACTGTGCCGCGACCGGCCGCCGGCTGCAGCAAGCTCCCCCCGCCGCGCCCCCGCCGCTGCGCTTCCGAAGCACAACGCAAAAAAGCCTTCGAAGGACTGTGCAAAGCCCACCTAGGAGGTGAAGCGGTGTTAAGTCGACCTTTTCTTTCCAGGAGGCGGCACGGTCCGGAAAGAGAAAGGACCCCTTAGGCTTAGGCTGCTCCCCCCCCCGCCCCCACCTGCTCGCCCACCCCTCACGCACCCCTCAGCCCCACCGGCCTCGGAAGCCCCATGGAAGAAAAGTGGAGAAACTCCGCTTTCCAGAGCCCAGCGAGTAGTACCTACGGGGGAGGAGGGGGGCTGAGCGCGGCGAGCCGGTTGCGGGGCCTCCTGGCCGACTCCGGTGGTGCTTCTGGGGTTCCCGCTCCCAGCAGGGGGATCGTCTGAGAGGCCCATGCCAAGCGCTGCCCCCAGGCCGCCTCCATCCCTCCTCTGCGTTGGGTTTGGCAGATCTCCCGGTGACCCTGGGCGCCCACCCCAGCGTGCCCGTCCTCCCTGGTGAAACCACCTGTACTCCGGATACAGTGGTCTGGCCCTAAAGAAATAGTTAACAGCATCCGCAGATGGTCACTCGATATCGTTGGGGAAGAAAGCAAGTTACGAAGCAGCATGTGTGATAGGATCTCGTTGGAGAGGACAAAGCAAACACCATGCACACATACCTTGAGGTGTCACAATGACCAGAAGTATACACCCAGACTGTATTTTCGGATTACTACATTATAGGTGATTTTAATTTTCTATATTTTATTAATCTATTTTAAGTGTTTTCAACAGTAACATTTTTTTCCCCTAACGAGAATAAATGATAAATGTTATTTTTCGAAGGAAATTATCACAGCCACCAGTGGGAAGACAGTGGATGGATCCTGGACATGACCTTGCTCCTTAGTGACCCACGACAGTCACCCTGGAGGTAAGGTTTGTGAAGGCTGCATCATGTTCTAGGATGAGGATATGGTTAAGCAGTTCATATCCCCACCCAGAACTCTCTCTTTCTCTCTGAGAAGTTACACTCACAGAATTAGTAGGTGAATCTTTGGTAATATGATTTGGGAGAAGATAAAATGTTCTACGTGTCTCAGTGTAACCCCGAAATTCCCTATGGCTGAAAGAATTGTCAGGTGTCCGAGACAAGGAACATTCTACTCAACTCTAAGTCACAGGTATGTCTGTCTGCTTGTGAACCGTGACTACAGACACCCACTTCAGAAGCATGCTGCCCAGAGGCATAGGCCTGGCTGGAGGGGCTCTGAGGGGGCAGAGTATGAAGGGAGGGAAACCAACAAGATAAGGACACAAAGATACGTTTTTGAGGGGGTCATTATTTTCCCTCTCGAAAGCCAAACCTGGAACATGCACACATACGTTCCAGTGGCCAGAGGAAGTAAGGAAATGGGTGCCTTCCTGGGTGCCCAGGAAATGCACACAGTAGACAGAGCATCATCTCTACCACAGAAGCCCTTCAGCTGCCTTACTACCTCCTCCATAGCCATCAGGGTCCTCCCATAGTCCTCCAGAATCCTCTAGCATTTCCTGTACATACTGTCCACCTTGTGACTCTTTAGAGGACGCATTCTGTCCCCTGGCTAGACAGGAGCTCTTTACTGTTCACCTCTTTGCTCTCTAGTGCCTGGTGCAGGGCTCCAGGAGGGAGTTGGACACTGCCATAAATGGCCAGGAGGTGACCAGATGCTCAAAAGTGTGTCACCTGTGCTGTCCTTGCACATGACTAAGAAAAGTTATATGGACAGAATACCGAAGTTAAAAACCGGTTGTTCGTTACTCAGTTACTGAACTGGGCAGAGGGGAGAGAGAATCCAAAACTGAGGTCAGCTGCCTTGTTCATTTAGTCAGGAGGGAGAAAGCTCTCCTAACCAGAGCACCCAGGAAGTCCACCTGGCTGCGTTCAGAAACTTACATCCTGGGAAGTGATGGGTCAACACCTAGTATTACTTGTTGGAGTTGAACTAGGGTTTATTTACTCAGCAGGCAGAATGTTTTTAAATGTATATTTCCTGCTAAGAATGGAATTAAAAGGCAGAATTTGCTGATTCCATGTCTGAAGACAAGAAATGTAAAGATGAGTTCAGAACATTTTTGTACCAGAAACCAGGGAATAACCAAATACTGCTAGCATCATGCCGGAATGACCTTGGAGCCAATCCGAAGGGCTCCCAATGGATCCATAAATTCACAGTGACACTCAAAAGAAACAAATAAACTTCGTGGGCCATGTTGGAAGATGTTAAAGAATCGTCTTATTTTGAGAACTGACAAAGAAAAAAAAATTGTGTATTTTGCTGTCTTTACATGAACATGGTTACTTAAGAGTAACCACATAGCTGATGGAATAATTTTCCTTCGTGGAAGTATCCTAGCTAATAATGACTCTTGGTAATGATTATCAATAGCTTCTGTTATCACACAGAGAGAGTCAAGGTGATACTGTATGCCTCCTGATGGAAGTAACAATTCTATGAAATCAGGTTGCCCAAAACTTGAACCTGATTCTGATCATGCTTCTAGATGGAATCACCAATTTTCAGAAAATACAGTGAGGTATTAATTGCCACTACAAGGACCTAAGCAGCAAAATCCAGGCTATAGGTAATTTGGGAGGACAAAAGCTCCTCCAACAGAAAAATTTTAAAGAACAAAGCAAGTGGTAGGAGAAGAGGGACCCTATACATTGAAAAATACTTGAGATATGTATTATTTAATTCCAGGGGATCTAGTTGGTTCTTTTTAAAAATCTCCTTGCAACCCTTAGACTATAACCTCCATAAGGACAGGGCATTTTGTCCCTGCTTGATCCCTCTTCCCTAGAACTGGAATGATACATGTTTATGGACACATATATGACTTTATCTCCCTGGCTGTAGCTCATGAGATAAGGAATAAATGGCTGATTTAATTAAGACTATTTGGGAGCAAATGAGAGCTGACGGGTTCTTCTGTTCCTGCCAATGTTTGATGATCACAAAGTCTGGTAATTCTTCCCCTGAAAAATCTCTATTTAGGACAGGTACCAACTGCCTTAGTTTGGGTTCCAAAGAGGCAGACCCTTAGAACCCTGAGAAAAGTATTCAAGTGCAAGGAGTTTATTTTGGAAAGGATACCAAGAAACATCTATGGGTAGATTGGGAACTGAGAAAGGAACAGAATGGCAGCCAATACAAGGTGTATTATAGAGCACATCTCTTTGTGGACACCTGGAGCTTAATGCCAGTGGGGAGTTCTGGGAGTCAGTGTAGGGTTATCCTTCCCTAGGGGCAAGGAAGTCACTGACTGAGGACCACTGGCACTGGGGTGAGGGGTTTATTCGGTACAGAGGCATGGGGGGGGACCTTCATCAGGTTGTACCCTGATAAACTTACTGACTCTGATAATATATATCTAATAAGACAAATATTTAATACAGTGCTAGGCTCACTTAGATATTAGCCTAGGGTACTAGATAAATCAGATTCTGGTGTCAGCCCAGCTTGGGTTCAGCAATAATCTCTTCCATGTACCTGCTTTGTGACCCTGAAAAAAAATCACTCAGCGTTTCTGTGCTACAGTTCCCTAGTATGTAAAAGGGTCTGAGGCATAAGATTGATACGGAGAATGAATAAGATCGTAGCTGGCACACAGCGCTCGAAAAGAAATTCACATCTTTTCCCTTCTCCTGGATTTAAGCCAAGACAATAAATTATGAAATTTCAGTTGTCAGCAAACGAGGAGGAATCTGCTTGGAGAGGTTGAGGCAAAGGGAAGACACCTTTCTGGTATTCCTGAGTTACGATGTGGAGGAACCCCCGCTGCCCTGCTTCCTGGTTTGGAGCTTGTGTCCACAAGAGTGCAGTACCACTGACAGAACTGGAGAAGCTGGAGAGAGACATTGTTTCAGTGTGAGGATGACTCATGAAGCCATTCAGCGAAATATTTGGACCCTTAATCCCTGAGAGGTCGGAGATCTGCATGCTATCCTAGACTTTGACAACCTACTAGGTTTTCAACTTAAGCATATTTTGGCAAATGTGTATCACATCAATATAGATCACTTGACTTGAGTTAGAAGACACCATCTAGAGTTTTCAGTGGGGCTTGGGCCATTAGAAACACAACTTGGTGAGAGAAGGATTGCTGCAAAGGGAAAGACCTTTGTACTGTCTGAAAAGACTTTTCATTGTCATGTGTTGACAAAAACCACTGGTATCACAAATACACGTGACCATATGTTCCAGTCAATCTCAAATTTATATGGAACTGGCAATGAAAAGAGCACATTTGGAATCGTTTGGGTTCTGGTGTCTCCTCCTAAATGCTTCAAGACTTTGTTGGGAAGCTTCCAGGAGTCATACCTGAGTGTGGCTTGTGATTTAAGTTGTCTTTCGGACGGGCCAATTTTTAATGAATGACTAGAATGGTAGGAGGAAAATGACAAATGGGCAGGGGTGGGGTGAGGGAGGAGTTCTCAAGTATACGTATAAAAATGAGACAGGAGACGAAGGAGGAGGAGAAGGAGGGGAAGGAGAAAGGACAAGAAATAAGAAAGGACAAGAAAAAGAAATCTGAAGGACTGGGAGATAAACATTTCCAAAGAGTAAATCTGACGTTTACCCATCTATATGCAATAAATATTTGCCAGTCCCAGTGTGTCAAGGATGGTCCTAGGAGCTGGAGACACATCAGTGAATCAAACATCCCTTTCTGGCGCTAACATTCTAGTGGTCTTGCTGAAAGGCTCCATTTAGGAAGTTGTGGCAAGACTGAAGTCTGGTTTAGTTCAGGCTTTGTAACTCTTTGGGTCCCTTGGCGTCAGTCCTTAGGTCAGAGATCTAAATTGAGGTCTGCCTTTTAGAGTCTAAAAGCCAAGATGAAACAGAGTATCTGCTTTGAGAATTCTTCCTGGCCAGATAGACAGGATTGGAAATCGGAAGAGAACCGACTCAGTGCAAATGTTGCCAAGCAGTAGATCAGAGTCACCAAGTCCTCAGAAACCTTCTGGGTACGAGGGAAGCATCATGGTTGTAATTACAGTGGTGGCTCCTCTGCCTCTTCCTTGGGCAGCCGTGGGGCAGGAGCAGATGTTTATCTTCCGCATGGCAGAATGTCTCCATACGGAATCCCCATGGGGTGCTTCCAGTTGGCGCACTGGTATCCTGTTACTAGGCATTCCTTTGCAAAGCAGAGAATGCCCCAGAAGTTTTGTAACAGTTGTCTAGAAATCACCAGATGAGTAGCTAGCAGAGAGCAGAGAGCTGACATACTGGCTTCTTGCCCCAAACCATTTCCCAGGAGACAGCAAGATGTATGCTAAAATGCACTGATAGTTCCGAGACAATCAACAACCCCAAGCAAAAACCTGCATTTGTAGAGCGTGGTAGGATTCCGGGAGAACTGAGGGGAGGGGTCGTTCAGTAAGCAGGAGCTCGATCATGATATGTGAAAGACGGGTTCTCACCTGGCTCTGCCGCCAAGTCGTTGTATGATCTCGGACAGGTCACTTCAGTTCTACCCCGAATCTGATCCCTTCTCACCACCCCACTGCTGTGACTGTCTCCAGCCACTGGGATCATCACAATATCCTCTGCATATCTTCCCACCTCAATGGTCTAGGATTGACACGGCAGCCAGAACAAGCCCAGAGAAGCTCTCAGACCTTGACACTCTTCTGCCCGATCTCTCCAGTGGTTCCTCTTTCATTCAGAGGAAAGGCCAAGTGCACGCAGTGACCTAGAAGTTTCTCCAAGGCCAGACATCACCTACTATTGATCTCCTCTCCTGCTACTCGAGCCCCTGTTCACCGTGCTCCGCATGCTGTCTTGACATTCATTGAACTGGAGTGTGCTCCTGCTGCGGAATATTGGAATTAGCTCTTCTTTCCCCTCCTTCCTCTCCCCTTTCCTCCCCTCCCCTTCCCTTCCC